ACAAATAAAACCAAAATAACATATAAAAGAAAAAACAAAAACAAAAGAAAAGAAAACAAAGATAGCACTATTAAACCTGTGCTAGATTGTAAAAATTATATAGTACTACTAAATAACTATTTATGTCTATATTAGAATATATATAATATCCATTCTTGAGTAGAGATCCAAGTTTGAAATTTCTCTTGCATTTCCACCATTCTGTCAGCATGGTATTCTGCGAGCATATTCTTGTGTGATATGTATGTTCCTTGGGCAAAGTATATTTAACACACAGGTCTTGTAAATCTGCTACCTCTTGAGGAAACCGATCAGGCGCTTTTAATACAAAAGTGTCCGCGTACTCCTGTACATGACTTTCCTTTTTTGGCAGTAATTGTTGTTATCGATCTTTCGATGGGGTAAGCTAGATTTCCCACTTTTTGTTGAAATTTCATAAAGAACAACGAGCAGGGTTTTGGTATAGGGTTTCGATTTGCAGGTAGCCTAAACTTCGATAGAGAGTGTATTGAAAACTTGCTTGTTGTTCTCCTTTAGACCAACTACTTTTACTTTGTCAACAGAAACATATACTTCTATTAAAATTTTCTGCACAAGGGCACCACCTCCTGCCAGTTATCTTGTACAAGAACGCTTTTAACTTGCTTGCTAAATATACAGAGGAGTCCAGCAGAGATCCAGAAATAGCCTTGACCTTTGTAAAAACCGTTGCTTGTAGTTGTCTCTTCTACTTGTTCCAACAAGTTTTTCATTTTCGTTAGTTATAAGTTTGATACGAGTGATCATCGGGAAGAGTGTATGATCAGCCTAGATTTTTTTTCCTTTTTATTATTATTATTATTATTTATTTATTTATTATTATTTTTTATTTATTTATTATTATTTTTTTTATTATAAATATATATATATAAGGGTGATTGGGATATTGTGATGAATTTGAAATATCTTGTGATCCTGTAATCAGAATCAGATGAAACTTAAACTATTCGATTCCTCTCGATAAGAGGATTCGAATGGTATAAATTTCATCTGAATCTGATTATAGAATTACGAGATATCTTGATTTATCATAATATCTTTAACTATAGTACTTTAATGTTTTTAATGTAAAAATATGAATATCTCATGACCTTGTGATCCAAACTAAGTGATTTTTATACTATTTGATTCCTCTCACAGAGAAGAATAGAATGGTATAAAAATTACTTATTTTAAAATACGAAGTCATGAGATATTTGTATTTTTACATTAAAAATATATAAAATACTGTAGTTAGAGATATTATGACGAATCAGGATATTTTGTGATTCCATAATTAGAATTAGATAAAATTTATACTATTTGAATTCTCTTATCGAGAAAAATCAAATAGTTTAAGTTTTATCTGATTCTGATCACGAGATCACGAGATATTCCAAATTTGTCACAATACCTCCAAGACTAAAATTTATATATATTTTTTAAAGTTATTTGGATTAAGGTATTTCATAATACAGTAATCAGAATCGAATAATTTTGGTATCATTCGATCTGACTCAATAAGATGAGTCAAATGATACTAAAATTGTTTAATTTTGATCAATATATCATATAATAAGATTAAAAATCATTAAATTCATCACAATATCCCAATCTTCATTATATTTATTATTATTATTATTATTTTTTTTTTTTTTTAAAAAAAAAAATTGCTTTAGGTAAGTATTAAATATCGCATATGCCAGGATATCAGTAACTTAGTCTGGATCTTTTTGCAAAAACCAAATTTTTATTTGGTTTGATTTTCTAGTTTTTTTTTTTTTTTTTTTTTTTTTTTTTTATTATTTGTTTAATTTGTTGGTATGTTGATAGCTGAGTACTAATCTTTTATTTTTTTCTTTTTGTTTTCTGCAGGTTTGTTCACAGGTTTTGGTCAAGTTTACAGGAAATCTTAACAAAGCATCCACATTATGGTGTACATAACTATGGCAGTGCTGTATTTTAAAATTATATAGTTGCATCTGTAATATCTACTATATATAATGACCAGTTAATTAAGTGGTTTGAAGCTATTTCAAGACTGCATAATTGGTAATAACAACAAATGGTTTATGGCCAAAATAATAGTAAAAATATTTAATTGCCCAAAGGACCGCAAGGCACTTTAATTTAGTGGTTGTATAGTTTCACTTAATTTTCGTAAGGCTCTTACTTGTATATGCAACAATGTACTTTTTTCCAAAATTATCCTTCTGCATCAAAATAGCACCAAGGCCTGATCTGGATGCATTAGCGTGAATGATAAAAGTTTTGTCAAAGTTCAGGTATTGTAGAATAGGTGTATTGATAAGGTATTGCTTCAGTTTATTAAAAGCATTTTCTTGTTTGTTTTTCTATTTATATTTAGTATCCTTTTTTAATAAGTGATAGAGGAGCAGGCAATTGAAATGAATTTTGAAATAAACTTCCAATAGTAGAAAGCTAATCATATGAATCTATGAAGTTGACGTAGATTTACTAAGATAGACAATACTTTATTTTATTTAATTTATTCTCGTCAAGATAAACACAATCATGACTGACTATATACTCTAGAAACTGCAAGTAGGGCTTAAAGAAAGATCACTTATCCACATTTAACTTAAGCTCAACATTGTACAACTTATCAAAAATAATCATCAGTTGTTTTATATGATCATTAAAAGAGAGAGAATAAATAATAATATTGTCAAGATATATAATGATGAACTTATTGATACACTCTGCTAGTACATAATTCATCAGACACTGAAAAGTAGCGAAAGTGTTGCAAAGGCCAAAGGGCATTACTAGAAACTCATAGGTGCCTGAGTTTGTTACGAAAGTAGTTTTCTCATAGTTTTGTTTCTTTATTTTTATCTACTAGTAACTTAATATTAAATTCAGGGTAGAGAACCAGAAAGCATAGCCAAATACTTTTAGTAATTTGTCAATTCTGAGGAGAGGAAAAGTATTCTTCTTCATAACAGCATTTAACTTTTGATAGTAATGTACATATGCAGCTTTTCACCTTTTTTTGGAATAATAATGATCTGGGAAACCCAGGAGCTTTTGGATTTTTTGATAAGGCCCTTTTTCTTTAACCTTTCAACTTCTTTCTTTATGAATTTACATATACTGGAGGTGGCCCTATAGAGAGTTTGCTTAATTGAATTGCATTTTCTATATCGATTTTATATACCATCAGGTTGGTTTGGTCTAGATTGTTAGTATCATATATGAAGATCATTTTTTCACTATTTAAAAAGTTTTTTGTCTTTTGTTTTTGTTTTAAGATTAATTGGGTTTCATTCATACTTTTTTCAATTTTAGTTCCAGGGGCTCTTTCTTAAGGTCGGTTTGTTTGATAGTAATTCTTCCATATGTGACAAATATATAGCAGAACTATAATAATTTTTCCAAGAGTTATCAAAGAAGTTGCTATCTGATACTTTGCTGGTATAGAAACCTTTGGCCTCATCCAACACTTTATTCTTATATTCGAATTTGTAGAACGTCCTATTATCTTCATTCTTTTCAACTTCAAAGGAGGGATAATCTTCATCATATAATATCAAAATCTTAGTAACTTGGTTTGGATATTGTATATACAACTTATATTCATCCATGTGCAAATAGACACGAGTTCATTTGAACCAATTTATTCCAAGAAAAAGAGTTTTATCGGCTAATTCAATGACTTGAAAGTTAGTTAGGACTATAACACTACTCAGAGCTATCTTAATACCAATGATTTTTTTTAACATCCTTACTTGGGTTCTATTTGTAGTTACTACTATGGTATTAGAAGGTTCAGTGATCCTCAATTGAAGTTTTTTATCATTTTATTAGACAAGATGCTCATAGCTGCACTAAAATCTAGAATGGCGATTACAGAGTTATTCTTTATCTTTACATAGTAGTGAGCAAGATGGTCTTTCTATTTATTTGATTCTAAATAGTATTGGTTTGCATAGTTTCGAAAGATGCAACCAATAGTTTTAATGGAGGCAATGGCCTTCTCAATATCTTGGCCAACTTCTGTCTTTAATCCAGATACTATAATATTTGTTCTACTATTACATTAGTCTTTAAGCTCGGGTTTTCATTATTTTTACTATTATTTCTTTCAAGATATATAGGGTAATTGTTGACAGGAGTTCTACTTCTATTATTATATTCTGATCGTTAGTTCTTATTGTAGACAGATTGTGCTTCATAATTCTTTTAGTTAGAGAAAAGATCATTATTGTTAACTTGGTGAATTTTTGCTAGTCCATGGCGCCTTTTTATTATTCTCTCTTTCTTTTTTTTTTTTGGTGAGTTGTGATATATGGGAGTTGCAGGATACCTTAAAAAATCTGATTATAAACTAGAGAGATGAAATTGATTTCTATTTCAAGGTTTATTTATATAACCCTTTGAAGCTTATTTGCTAATCACTTTCATTACTTTAAACTTTTTTTTTTTTGTCATAATAATTATACATATAAACTAGTTTTTTTGTTTTTAGATTGCTTCGATCAAATAAATATCTATTCTTTTTCTCTTTTTTTTTGATATTGTACTAATTCCTATTTTGAATTTTAGGTTCTAGTTGACAGATCTTATATTTGATAGTAATTATAATAATTACAACTTGTGAAAGAGAACTAGAGAATTGTAATACAATAGTACAAGTTGCAACAATAGTTTGGGTAGACTCAGTATGTTGATCCCAAAATAAAATTTTTTTAAAAAAAACAGCTCAATTCTTAAAAAAAAAAAATTATCACAAAGTAAATACAAATGGAGACAGTCCATTGGTCTAAAAAAGAATTTACAAAAAAAAAACAATTTAGACTCAGTATGTTAGTCCTTTAATTCAATAAACAAACAATCAAAAAAATAAAATTAATTTTGTATTAAAGAGGGTAGTTAGCATTGTTATGGTTTCGATTTCATATCTCACAATTAGAAGAGGCCAATTTTGTTGTATCTCACAGTCACACCAAATTGTTGTAGCCAAATAAACAAATCCACACATGCAAAATACACATCGATTGAGGCTTACTCAACAGGTTTAGAGGTAGTATCAACTTGGCATAGTCTAAAGTAATAGTTGAGTATTTTATTACAACTTAGGGTGATTTGGTAAATTTAAAAAGCAGTACAGGTTATTAACACAAAGAGCTTTTTATTTATTATATAGAAGAATAATTACACAAAGTCAATAAGGCAGTAATGTGGTTATACTTTGACAAGAGCAATTTGACCTCTTATTTATACAAAATTACAGGCAAGAAAAAGAACAAATTCAAAAATTCCAATTTAATTCTTATCTTCCTTTTTTTTTTTATTATACCGCCATTGGACTTTAGCCAAACAACCATTTTAATCTAATATTTTACTTCTTATATATAGCTATTCTTATTGAAATGTTTGATAAAATAAAAAAAAAAAGCAAGTCAAATAAAGGCTTCTATACTGTCATTATTCTTTACTTGTCAAGTCTATTGATTTATTCATTGACTCTTCTATTGATTTATATGCTTTTTCTTTTTTATAGCTATACCTTACTCGACAAGATAATATTACCTTAACAGATATTATACTGAATCAGATAAGTATCTTTTTCATCAATAAGATTATTAATAGAGGCTTGGTTTTTATAAGATCTATATTCAATGCTTCTATATAAAGAGTCTGGTTTGGAGCAGATTTGCTTTTATGTGATCATCATTTAAAAATCAGGTCCTGGAGTATTGCAGTACAATGATTTTTTGCATAACAATTCATAGTTCAAATATGCATCATTTCATATAATTTGGTCACAGTCTTGAGGTTACGTTTTGCTTATAACAATATGTACGGGCTGAGGTCTATCACT